ACATCAAGACACTGATGTAGGCAATTAATTTATTGGAAAAGATCCCAATAGCGCAGCAACAAAAGCAAAACTAAATAAATGGGATTGTATCAAACTCAGAGCTTCTACATAGCACAGAAAACAATCAACAGAGTGAACAAGACATCTGACATATAGGAGAAAATATCTGCAAGCTACTTATCTGACAGAGGATTAGAATCAGTATACATTAGGAACTCAAAAAGCTTAACAGCAAAAATCCAGTTAAGAAATGAGCAAAAGACCTGAAGAGACAGTTCTCAAAAACATATAAACAATTATATGAAAAAATGTTGACTACTGCTAGCCATCAGGGAAATCCAAATGAAAACCACAGTGAAATATCACCTCACCCCTAATAAAATGGCTATTAACAAAAACACAGTAACAAATGCAGGCAAAGATATGCAGAAAGCGGAACTCCCTTACACTGTTCGTAGGAATGTAAGTAAGTGTGGTGACTGGAAAACAGCATGGAGCTCCCTTAAAACACTAGAAACAGACTTTCCATGTGACCTGGCAATCCCAATACCAGGCATACAAAAGACATGAAATCATTTTACCAGAGATACCTGTTCCTTCGTGTTTATTTTGCAGCACTGTTTGCAATAGCCAGGATACGGAATCAACTAAAGTATCTATCATCAGATAAATAAAGAAAACGTGTCTGTGTAATAAAATACTATTCAGTCATAAAAATAATGAAATCTTTTCATTTTTAGAGAAATGGATAGAACTGAAAGACATCACGTTAAGTAAAAAAAGCCAGAAACTGAAGCAAATATTGCATGTTCTCTCTCGTATGTGGGAGTTTGAAAAAAAAAAAAAAAACTACTCAATACCAAATGACGATTACCAGAGGCTAAAAGGGACAGGAGTTCGGATTAGAAAAAAAAAAAGTAGGTGAGGCCTGGCCTGTGGCATAGCGGGTAAAGCTGCCACCTGCAGTGCCGGCATCTCATGGGCGCCAGTTCAAGTCCTGGCTGCCCCACTTCCGATCCAGCTCTCTGCTATGGCCTGGAAAAGCAGAAGAGGATGGCCCAAGTACCCACATGGGAGATCTGGAAGAAGCTCCTGGCTCCTGGCTTCAGACTGTCCCAGCTAAGGCTGTTGCGGCCATTTGGGGAGTGAACCAGTGGATAAAGACCTCTCTCTCTCTGCCTCTCTGTAACTCTGCCTTTCAAATAAATAAATAAATCTTTAAAAAAGAAAGAAAAAAGTAGGGGAAGCTGGTGTGATTCATTAACTGTGACAAATACACCATACTAATATGAGATGTTAATAATAGAGCAAGCTGGGTGTGGTGTATTGACTGTGACAAAGGTATCATACCATCTAGTAAGTTAATAATCAAGGAAGCTGGCTGTGGGGTATATGAGAACTCTCAGTACTACTACTTTTTTTTTTTTTTTTTGGTAAATTTATAACTATGCTGAAATTTAAAGTTAAAAAAAAAAAGACATCCATGTGGAAATATTTGCAGGTGAAATTATATGGCTTTTTGTATTCCAAGGGAGAAAGAGAGACCAGATGGGAATATAGAAGAAGTAGAACCAGCCAAGGGCTGCTAAGTGTTTCAGCTGGGTGACAGGTACATAGGGATGCATCGGACTCTTCATCTAGCTTTGCATAAAACTTTCCATAAGAAATTAAAAACAATGAAGGAGAATTTAAACAACACATAGAAGTACATATCTGATTAAAAAGCAAACATTCCCCTCCATTACAACTTCTCTTCTCAGCAATAACTCTGATAACAGTTTAGAGTACAACTTTTCAGACCTCTCATTTTTTTCTTAAAGATTTTATTTTTACTTATTTGAAAGGAAGAGACACAGAGAAAGATCTTCCATTCTCTGGCTCACTCCGCAGCTCAGAACTCCACCCAGGTCTCCCCCATGGGTCTGCTATTTTCAAAGGCACATTAGCAGAGTGGGATCAGTGGAGCAGCTAGGCCTCAAACACCTGACAGGGGCTTTTGCTGGTGGTGCAGGTGGCGGCTTAACCCCTGCACACCAACACCAGCCCCTCATTTATCATGTATTAAAGCACATCAATACATTCCCTAGGCACCTATTTATAGTGTAGACTATGCTGTGTGGGTGTGCTGTTCTGCAACTTATTTCCTTAGTACACAATGCATCACTAACACCTTCCTGCAGGCTAGGTACTATGCCAAAACCTAAATATGCATAATGTACCGACTCAATCCTCTACTGAGGAAAAACAGCATGGCAGCAGCTTCCCTATACCAATAGCTTTCCACTGCTGGCCTCAATTATCTGTATTTTACTAACTGGATACAAATTTCTGATGTTTGTAAATGTACAATCACAAAACTAATGCAAAACCAACATTAGACATGAAAAGCTTCAAAATCAATATAATTTATATTAAACAACTCAAACTTCTTGTCCTACTTGGCCGACATTAAAACACCACTTATAATATAGGCAATGTTAGAGTCAGCACCCACAGCTGGGTGTCAAACCCAGGTACTTCAATATGGGGAGTGGTTGTCCCACCCAGGACGCTAAACACTTGTCTCAAGTAACAATGTTTTATTTCTCTTACAACACAAATGCAGGCAAATATGATGGTACTTCAAAAAGTTCATGGAAAAATAGAATTAAGTCTATTTGGTGCAAAAAAAAGAATGTCATAGTCTACATAAAGTTCATGGAAAATGTGTATTATGAAAAAAGTATGCACAGATTTCAAAACGTTTTATACTATAATGAACTTTTTTAAATATTTATTTATTTGAAAGGCAATGTTTCATAGAGAAGGAGAGACAGAGTGAGAGAAAGAAGAGATCCATCTGCTGATTCACTCCCCAAGTGGCCACAACAGCCAGGCCAAAACCAGGAGTCAGGAGCTTCACTGAGGTCTCCCACATGGGTGGCAGGAGCCCAGGTACTTGGACCATCTTCCACTGCTTTTCCCAGGCGCATTATCAGGGAGCTGGATCAGAAGTGAAACAGTTTGGACTTGAACTGGTGCCCCATGGGACGCCTGCACCGCAGGCACTGGCTTAACCCATTACAGTACAAGGCTCACCAGCCCCTGAACTTATCTTTTAATTTTACTTTTCACTAACTTTCTGAAGTAATCTCATATAGCAAAATGTTAAATTTTACGGGTTCTGGATGATAATGCATGTATTTACTATACTGTCTTCTAAACGTTAATCTTCATAATGGGGGGGAGAGGCTGTGCACGAACTGCTTTAGAGGAAAAAAGGCACAACAGGCACTATGCTTCGTGATGCTGACTGAGTAAAGGAAAGAGTGAAAAAAATAAATTTTAAATAAGCTTAACATGTTCAACTAAGCATGCATCTCGGCATGCTGCAGCGAAAGTAGGTAATTAATATGAAACTTTCAAAGCTGCTTATAAAAGAGTATTTCCTTGAACTTTCAAAATGACAGATAAAATTAAACTATTTCTTCATGACACTGAATACTTGGTTTGATTCAAATGCAAACCCAGTGATATATTCAGTATTTAAAGGACCCAATTCATCACTTTAGGGCTGAAACAACATCCTGATGGAGTGTTTAAAGATCTGGCATAGCTTGTCATCTTCTCCCCCCGCCCCCTAACTCTTCTCCCAATCCTTATTTTCTTTAGCACGTGGAGAAAGAAATCGATGATATTCAATATTCAGCATACTTAGAAACCACATCCAAATGTTAAATCTGAATGCAAAGAAATACCTTCAGGGTAAAATGCAACCAAAATAACAGATTAGGAACTCACTTGATGCTGTTCCCTAAACTGAAACATTTAGTCCTATTCTAACTTTTGAGTGTGATATACTTTCTCATCAACAAAGTATCTGACACAGAGTTGAAAATATTTATCATGAAAAATTTCTCCATAATACAAGTTTATATTCAACAGTCACCTGATACCATTACCAAAGAACAAGCATTCTGAGTTAGGATTTCCTAATTTAACATAAATTAAGAAACCAACTGGAAGTCCAACTTAACCTATGACTCTAGGTGTTACTGACCTGGAGACAGATAACTGCGAAAGTCCACAATGTTACTACATTGGATACTAGAAGGAAATGATTCCAAACATGATAAAATGTTAATCATCATCTAAAAAAAACCGTTCACATGTATTATGTCTGTATATTCCTAGGATCTGAGGAAACATAAAGCAGATAGAAGGCAGGAAAGGAGGCAGGGAAGGCCCAAGCCAAGCAGCCTGTTTTCATAGTGTACCTGGGGCTGCTCTGGACCTCGGACCAAGCAAGAACACTCTTTTCTTTAGCTTCCTTCCAAACATGCAGACCGACCTCTACTACTACAACCTGGGTCTTCAGTCATTCAATAGTACTGTTCAGGGGCTGGCGCTGTGGCGCAGTGGGTTAATGCCCTGGCCTGAAGTGCCGGCATCCCATACGGGCACCAGTTCGAGACCCGGCTGCTCCACTTTCCATCCAGCTCTCTGCTATGGCCCGGGAAAGCAGCAGAAGGTGGCCCAAGTCCTTGGGCCCCTGCACCCAAGTGGGAGACTGGGAGGAAGCTCCTGGCTCCTAGCTTCGGATCAGCATAGCTCCGGCTGTTGCGGCCATCTGGGAAGTGAACCATCAGATGGAAGACTTCTCTCTCTCTCTGCCTCTCCTCTCTCTGTGTAACTCTTTCAAATAAATAAATCTTAAAGCTGAAAAAAGGAATAAGAAAAAAAAAAAAAAAGTACCGTTCATATTATCCCTAACAGTCTAACTTCAAAACAAAGCAGATTTATATCCAGATTTTGTCATACTTCAAAAACACTGGCAAAACAACATGAATAACAATAAAACAGTAACACTGACAATCATGTTTTGCATTAGTACAACACCCCAAATAAGACAACATAAAGAACAAACCCTGAGCTATCTGTCCTTCCTGCTCAAGGACACCTGTGTTGACAGGAACAGCAACCAGAGCACTCCACTGACTGCAGGGCACCTGCCCCCTTACCGAGCTGGTTCTTCATCCCCATGAGCACGGAGTTCATGTGGGCTTTGGACGCGTAGAGCTTGCTCACGGCCTTCCTTGAGCGGATCATCTCCTTGGCCAGAACCACACACACATCCTTCTGGCCCTTCTTAGCGGCATCCTTCACAGATCGTTTCACCTTTTCTTCTTCCCTTTGTATGTCTAAAGTTAGATCAGAACACCAGAAACCAAGGATCAATCAGACTGGAACTCAAATCTGTTCTTACTGCAATCTAAATGTGTGCATTAAATAGGAAAACATGGAGGATACAAATGAAACAAAAATTATAAAAACAGAGGTATAAATAAGTAAAATACAAATAACTACTGTGGGCCAGAGCCGCGGCTCACTAGGCTAATCCTCCGCCTGTGGTGCCGGCACACCAGGTTCTAGTCCCGGTCGGGGCGCCGGATTCTGTCCTGGTTGCCCCTCTTCCAGGCCAGCTCTCTGCTGTGGCCAGGGAGTGCAGTGGAGGATGGCTCAAATCCTTGAGCCCTGCACTCGCATGGGAGACCAGGAGAAACACCTGGCTCCTGGCTTCGGATCAGCGCAGTGCGCTGGCCGCAGTGGCCATTGGAGGGTGAACCAACGGTAAAGGAAGACCTTTCTCTCTGTCTCTCTCTCTCTCTCTCACTGTCCACTCTGCCTGTAGAAAGACAGAAAGACAGAAAGAAAGACAGACAGACAGACAGAAAGACAGAAAACTACTGTGGTGTTATTTCCAGAAATACCATTAAAGTAGTTAAAGAATAAAAAGAAAAGGATAGTCCCCTACATTTGAAGCACTTCAAAACACCTTTAGAGATCACATTCTAACATCTGATTGCACTAGTCTAAGTGCTTAAAAGTGACTGTAGTGCATTTCTGAGTTTGCTCTAATATGTAATATCCTCACAGTTATGGGAGTTCAATCACTGTGCAGTCATTAATAATTTCTAAAGACCTGCAACTTAAGGAACACCTGAACTTAGAAAGTATCAAATCAGCATCAACTAGAAGTGAGATACTTACATGATTCATGATCAGTAGGGGTTTTCCCCCCAACTTTTAAAACTGTGGCAAAGGACATTAAAATTTACCATCATAGGTGTGCAATTCAGCAGTATGAAGCACATTCATATTGTATAACCACCACCACCATGCATCTTCAGATCTTTTCACATCTTAAAACTGAAATGCTATACTCATTAAATAATAACTCCCTATTCCCTGGCAACCACCACTCTTTCTTCTCCCTTCACGAATCTGACTACTACAAATACTTCGTAAATGCAATCATACAGTATGTGTCTTTTTCTGACTGGCTTATTTCACTTAGCATAATGTCCTGGTCAGAGTATTTTACAGGGATTTCACTGAATCTGTAAAACACTTTCAGCAGTACAGATGTTGATTCTTCCAATCTGTGAATACAGAATATTTTCCATTTCTTTGCATCTTCTTCAATTTCTTTCAGTAGTGTTTATTTAAAAAAAAAAAAAAAAAGATTTATTCTAGGGACCAGCACTGTGGAGCAGCGGGTAAAGCCATCACCTGCAGTGCTGGCATCTCGTATGGGCACTGATTCAAGTCCTGGCTGCTCTACTTCCTATCTAGCTCCCTGCTGATGACCTGGTTTGAAAGTAACGGAGGATGGCCCAAGTCCTAGGGCACCTACACCCATGTAAGAGATCTGGAAGAAGCTCCTGGCTTCAGACTGGCCCAGCTCCAGCTGTTGTAGCCATCTGGGGAGTCAAACAGTGGATGAAAGACTTCTCTCTCTGTCTCTGCCTCTCTGCCTTTCAAATAAATAAATAAATAAATCTTTATTCTATTATTTATCTGAAGGGCAGAGTTAGAGACTGAGAGCAAGAAAGATCCTCTATCCGCTGGTTCAGCCCCCAAATGGCTGCAACAGTCAGAGCTGGGTCAATCCAAAGCCAGGAGCTTACTCCAGGTCTCTCACATGGGTATAGGGGCCCAAGATCTTGGCCCATCCTCCACTGCTTTCCCAAGCCATCAGTAGGGAGCTGGATCGGAAGTGGAGTAGCTAGGACTCAAATCCGTGCCATATGGGATGCTGGCACTGAAGGCGGCAGCTTTACTGGCCATGCCACAGCACCGGCCCCCATTAGTATATTTTAATTTCATTGTAGAGATTTTTAACCTCTTTGGTTAAATTCATTCCTAGATATTCTATTTTTTGGTAGCTATTAGAAATGAGTATTTTTTAAACTTATTTGACAGGTAGAATTAGTGAGAGAGACAGACAGAGAGAAAGGTCTTCCTTCCGTTGGTTCACTCCCCAACGGCCGGCGTGCTGCACTGATCCAAAGCTAGGAGCCAGGTGCCTCCTCCTGGTCTCCCATGCAGATGCATGACTTTGCATTCTGCAGCTCTGCTCAATTTATTATTACAATTTTTGACAGTCTTTGGGGTTTTCTACATGTAAAGTTCACCTGTGAACAGTGACATTCCAACTGACAATTTGATGTCTTCCTTTCCAATCTGGATGCCCTTTCGCTCTCTTACTTAATTGTTGTGGCTAGGATTTCCAGTACTAAGCCAAATAAAAGTGGTGAAAGTGGGCATCCTTATCTTGTTCCAGATCTTAGAGAAAGCCTTCAGCTTTCCCCCCATTCAATGGTTAGCTGTCGGCTTGTTATATAAGGCCTTCATTATGCTGAAGTATGTTCCTTCTTTAGCTAATTAATTTAGAGTTTTTACACTGAAGGGATGCTGAATTTTATTAAATGCCTTTTTTGGCATCCATTGGAGTGATCACGTGATTTTTGCCCTTCATTTGGTTGATATGATGTATCATATACTGATTTGCATATGCTGAACCATCCTTGCATCCCTGGGATGAATCCCACTTGACCATGGTGAATCATCTTTCTAATGTGCTGTTGGATTTGACTTGCTAGCATTTTATTGAGGATTTTTACATCTATGTTCAATGACATTATTCCGAAGCTTTTTTATTGTGCACTCATCTGGTTTTGGTATCATGGTAATGTTGGCCTAAGAGAATGAATTTGGAAGAATTCGATCATCTTCTCTTTTTTGAAATAAGGATTAGCATTAATTCTTTAGAAGTTTGGGACACCAGCGCCGTGGTGCAGGTTAATCCTCCACCTGCGGCACCGGCATCCCATATGGGCACCAGTTCTAGTCCCGGCTGCTCCTCTTTCAATCCAGCACTATACTATGGCCTGGGAAAGCAGCAGAAGATGGCCCAAGTACTTGGGCCCCTGTACCCATGTGGAAGACCAGGAAGAAGCACCTGGCTCCTGGCTTCTGATCAGCGCAGCTCAGGCCGCTGCAGCCACTTGGGGAGTGAACCAATGGAAGGAAGACCTTTCTCTGTCACTCCCTCTCACTGTTTGTAATTCTACATTTCAAATAAATTTTTTTAAAAAAAGAAGTTTGGTAGAGGAGCCAGTGTTGGAATACAGCAGGTTAAGCTACCACTTGCAATGCCAGCATCCCATATGGGCACCAGATCGAGTCCCAGCTGTTCCACTTCTGATCTAGCTCTCCAATAATGTGACTCGGAATGCAGAAAATGTCCCAACTGCTTGGGCCCCTGCCACCCGTGTAGGAGACCCAGATGGAGTTACAGGTTTCTGGCCTCAGCCTGGCCCAGTTCTGGCCCTTGCACTATTTGGGGAGTAAACCAGTAAATGAAGTGCCCCCCCCCACAACTTCTATCTCTCCCCCCTTCCTTCTAACCTCAATCTTTTTTAAAAATTAAAAAAATAAAAGTTGGGTAGAATTCATCAGTAATGTCATCTGATCTTGGGCTTTTCTTTAATGAGAGATTTTTTGATTACTGATTCAGTCTTGCTTCTCATTATTAGTCTGCTTAGGTATTCTATTTCCTCATGATTTAATGTTGGTATGTGTCCAAGAATTTGTCCACTTCTTCTAGGTTACATAATTTGTTGCCATATAGTAGTTCATGGTAATCTCTAACAATCCTTCGTACTTCTGTGGTTTCAGTCATAATGTCTCCATTTTCATATCTGATTCTATGTATTTGAAATTTAATTTTTATTAGTCTAGAGAAGATTTGATCAATTTTGCTTATTTTTTTCAAAGAACAGCTCTTCGTATTGTGGATTTTTTTGGATTTTTTATTTTTATTTTTTTTGATACACAGAGTGGACAGTGAGAAACACCCAATGGCCACTGCGGCCGGCACACCGCGCTGATCCGAAGCCAGGAGCCAGGTGCTTCTCCTGGTCTCTCATGTGGGTGCAGGGCCCAAGCACTTGGGCCATCCTCCACTGCACTCCCTGGCCACAGCAGAGAGCTGGCCTGGAAGAGGGGCAACCGGGACAGAATCCGGCACCCCGACCAGGACTAGAACCTGGTGTGCCGGCGCCGCAGGCAGAGGATTAGCCTAGTGAGCCACGGTGCCGGCTGTATTTTTTTTTACTTTGTCATTTATTGTGCTCTTTTTATTATTTCTTTTTTTTTTTTAAAGATTTATTTGTTTGTTTGTTTGAAAGGCAGAGTTACAGAGGCAGAGGCAGAGGGAGAAAGACAGAGAGGTCTTCCATCCACCCGTTTACTCCTCAAATGGCTGCAACGGCCGGAGCTGAGCCAATCTGAAGCCAGGAGCCTGGAGCTTCTTCCGGGTCTCCCACGTGGGTGCAGGGGCCCAAGGACTTGGGCCATCTTCCACTGCTTTCCCAGGCCGTAGCAGATCAGAAGTGGAGCAGCTGGAACTCGAACCAGCATCCATATGGGATGATGGCACCCCAGGCAGTGGCTTTACCCGCTATGCCACAGCACTGGCCCCTATTCTTTCTTTCTTTATATCAATTTTAGACTCTATTTGTTCTTTTTGTAGTTCCCTGAAGTACAGAGATAATCTGCTTATTCGAGATATTTCTGCTTTTCTGTTGCAAGCACTAATTGCTATAAACTTTCCTTAGTATTGCTTTTGCTGTTTTAGTAGGTTTTAGTACACTGTTTCCATTTTCATTGTTCCAAGAAATTTTTAATTTCCACTTGATTTCTTCCTTGGTCCACTGGCTGTTCAGGATTGTTTAATTCCCATGTATTTCTGTAGTTTCCAAAGCTTTTCTCATTGATTTCTAGTTTTATTGCATTGTGTTCACAAAAAACTGGTATGACTTCTATTGTTTTAAATTTTTGAGACTTATTTTGT